GGTGGAGTCTGAGGCATTTAACCCTAAGAACATAAGGAAAGGAAAGAAAGATGAAAAAGTCAGTGCAACTGACCAACAGTAATAGATATTTGCAGCTCTGTTTAAGAGGAAGAGAGGGGTGCCTTGGAGAGAGACCTGCCAGTTCCTGAAAGCAGAGAGCAGGGCACTTACTTTCCACCTTGCTTCTCCAATATATCTGGTGGGACAACTAACTATCTTGGCTTGTCTGGGCTGAGGAGGTTCCTGGGACTGGACTTTCAGCTTTAAAACTGGGACAATCCCAGGAAATTTAAGGAAAGGTTGGTCACCCTATGACCCAGGTAGCCACTGGAGATCTATTACTGAGGAAGCAAAAGAGAAGAGACCATGGGGTGTGCCTGGTAGTGTCTGCCATGGAGAAAGTCTTCACTATTCTAGTTGGAAATGACGGCTGGAACCTATGCTATGTGCCATCACTCAAATGAAAGATGGTTAACATAGGAACAGGACTCTCCCAGAGGAATACCATGAGGCTGACCTATCTGGTCTTTGGGCATCTGGATTTGCTTTCCTGCATCCTTCCTGAAGTCTGAAGGCCTTAGTCTGTTCCATCCATCCATCTATCTTTTCAATCATTCACCCTTTTATTCTTAAAACAGTCACTAAGCATCTATAGTAGGCCAGGCTTTGAAGACAGTGGGATAAATAATACTATATAGTGCCTACTCTCCAGGAGCTCAATTTAACACAGAGGAGACTCAATCCAAGCAGGCAACAATAGTATAGAAGTACAGCTGTAACTGGAGGTTTGTGCAAAGTACAATGGGACCCAGTAGAAGGAACAACTAAATATGGACTGTGAATCAGGGTCTGGAGGTTAAGTGGGCATTTGCCAGGTGGGGTGGGGGGGCAGTGCAGTCAGGGTCATGGCTCAGACAGCACACGATGAGCACGGTGGAAAGGTGGGTCTAATGTGTCAGGCTGGAATGGGAGAGCAGAGAATGTGTGTGTTGGGGTGGGAGAAGGATGTGTGGGAAAAGTGTGAAGAGCTTGAAATATGGCTAAAAAGGTACCTTTTGACCAGAGTGTGAAGACTCTTGAAGTCTACTCCTTGGAGTACTTTTATGACCTGACTTGTGAGATGGAGCCTTTGCTCTGCTGAGGTATATTGTGGGCATTAGCAAGTGGAACATAGTATGTATGCATTTGCTCAGTCTTTTGACCTTGGCACAGGTGTTCTAGGGAGCTCGTCTTGGGAAATGCTGAAGGCCCTCAGAGGACACCTCCAAGTACCGGAGGGGAGCGCTCCTTTGTGTCTGGAGACTCAAGCCATATTCTGTCACAAGGGGTTTTTTTTTCTCTCTAATAATTTATAAACGATGTCCTTTTATCTGTAGAATTGTAAAGATTTTAGAGCTGGCAAGGACCTTGGAGGTCATCTAGTTCAAACCCAAACAGAGAGCTGGAGAGGAGATGTCACTGAGCTGATCAGACGCAGAGGCAGATTAGAATTCAAGTCTTTGGACTTCAAGACCATAAATATTTAAGGTACTTTCAATATAAGAATAATATATCAGGACATTTAAAGTAAGCATACAAATAATTTTGTAAAAGAAGAGTGACTATAAGCACAATAATCTGGAATAAAGTCATTCCGACTTACTAGATGTAGTCTTGAGCGGCCTGGCATCCATGCAAAGAGAGTGAGGGGATGGTTGATATGCTTTCTTTTTACCTGGTGGAAGGTAACAGAGAAAGAAAGATGTCTGCTCCCATTACGAGCGGGTGGAGCTGAGCAGCTCTATGACAGAGCCTTCAGTAATTCACTTCAGAAACATGCAGACCTTATAAAAGTCCTGGAAAATTCAGTCTTCAAGGAGCTCATTGTATGGCAGAGAAACAATTAAAATCTAGTATGGTGGGTGCTATGAAAGAAGGTGCTCAGGGAGCCTGGAGAAGAGATACCCAATCCAGGAGAGGGGACGGGGCTTTCTGGAGGGGAGTGACAATCAGTAGCATGGTGTCCTAAAGGAAAGAGAGTTTGTTGAGCAAAGAAAGCCTTGGTGGTTGAAAAGGGTATTCCAAGTGGAGGGTGCACCACCATGAATTCAGGGGGATATGAAAAAGTGTGGCAGCTTAGGAGAATTGCAAGCTCCTCCTGTGATCAGACTGGCTGGACTGATGTGCAGGCTTCTGGGCAAAGACTAGTGAGTAAGAGGCACCAAGTGAATAAATGTTCATTGTTATTGCTAATAGCCCACACTCTGCACTCTCCACCTTCCTGCCAGAGATGAGGGCATTTATTTTCACATGTAGATCTGTCCCCACTTAAAAAGCAAATTAGTTATTTCCCTTACCTCCAGGGGTGAAACACAGCTGGTTTTCTGGCATTTGGACAGAGAATGACAGGCAAGTATGGGCATGTGGGGAAGTGGGTAGGACCTTAAGAGGGGGAAGTGTTGGGAGCAAGGAGCGTGTGGAGGCCGGGGAGACACACAGCCCACATTTGCTTGAGTATCTCCACTGACTTGGAGTCCTCTTTGAAACCATGGAGTAGTACCGTCAGCTGATAGTTAACCCCTTACAGGTTAATGCACTGCTTGCCTGCCTAACTGCTTTCCTATGGGCAAAGTTGATGAAAAGGGGGTGGGGTGTCATACCTTACAGCATAAAGACATAGTGATGGGGTAGGAGGTGAGTGTGTGAAAGGAGGCAGGTAGATCAGAGCATGTCCTGTGGTGGAGACGAGGCCCGAGGAGGGCCTCTAGACACAGGGGCCAAGAGTGTGGCCGTGTGTGTGTGTGTGTGTGTGTGTGTGTGTGTGTGTGTGTGTGTGTGTGTGTGTGTGTGTGTGTTGAGAGAGAGAGAGAGAGAGACAGTCCATTCACCACTTTGCCTGGCCTAACCTTGGCCAACTTTCAGGGGTGAGCTTTTTGGAAACAGACATGCTTTTTATGGTCCATAGGATGCTTTCCTGCTTATTAGTTCATCTGCTTCACGTGATCACCCTGTGAGGGGCAACTTAGCTGCAAGGCTAAATGACCTGTTGACAGGGCCCCTGTTACAGGGAACAGCAGGATGAGAGCCCGGGTCTCCTACTCTCAAATCTATGCCCTTTCTACACCCCACCCCCAGTATGCCCACAGTGGGTGCCAGTCCCTTCTGTTTTCCGTGTGTACAGGTGTCCCAGGGTGCAGAGATGAGCCCCACTGTGTGTGTCTGCCCTGCAGTTCACATGCGCCATCCAGACCCCAAGAGAAGAACCCACTCCTGGACTCTTTCGCACTGCAGAGGCCTTCTGCAGTGGTTAGAGGTGGTGCACGTATTTCATTCTCTAGGAAACAATGCTGGACTTGGGGGATAAACTTCATGATTAAAAATGATTAAATAGCAAACTGCTGGGAGAGATCAGGAAGGATTCTTCTCAATACTGATGAAATATAAACAGATGTTTAGAATAATCTTAGAATTTATGCTCAAGATGATGAATTGTATATGAAAATTACCTTCTTCAGCGGCTTGCACACAGCAATGTAGGCAAGTGCTTTGGATCCTCTTCCACAAGAGAGTGGGCAGGTTTGGGGAGCCAAAGAACTACGGGATTAGGGGGAGAGGGCCTTCAAACACCTGTTCTCTGGCCACCTGTGTGCCCACCTTGCTTTCCAGGAGCCAAATGAAAATGCCTGGGGGCTGAGGGCAGACTGTGTCCCGCCTCTGCCATTCCAGCTAGCTGCTGTCCTCTCCTCTAGCCAAACCTTGTAAGGTGCAGGCGTTGCCTCCTTTTAGAAGTCTGCTAGGCAACTGTGAGCACTGCTCCCTTTCCCCTGACTCCCACCGTCGGTTTTGATCAAATAAAAACAATGCTAAAACCAAAAGACACGACCGGGTACTTAGATGAGGTCAGAAAAAGTGTCTTTAACCTTTAGCACACATCTCCTCCTCCCCATCCCCTCGGTATTTCTGACTCAGAGTCTGGAGCTTAACTCTGTGTGGTCGTGCTGGGTGCTGGTCTGAGCTGAGCAGTCAGCGGGTGCTGGGCTGGGGGCAGCTGGCAGACTGAGTGACGTGGGGTGGGAACCCGGGGAACTCTGGGCGCCTACAGCTTGAAGCAGCTGGCTCTGAGGAATTACTGCAAGTCTGCACAACTTAAAAATCTGCAGTTGGAGGGAGGGAGGGGGAGCGCGGGGGTGGGTCCCTGAGCGTCCCATTTCTCCTGGGCGGTTCACTGAGCGTTCTCGCTTGCTGCAGAGGGGCCAGCGGTGCCTTCTGGACCACACGCCGCCCTCGCCAAGGTCCTGGATTGTTACAAAACCTCGGCCAAAGGCATGTCCCTCTGAACCCTTCTTCCATCCTTTGGGCAGGGGACTAGACTCGTCCTCTTTCCGCTGAGTGCATGTGTCTGCCACCTCTTCTGAAGGTAAGTCGAGGAATGCAGTGTGCAAAACAATCTTGTTCTGCACTGTGCGTTGAGACTTTCAGGCATCGGGGCCCATGGTAAACAGGCAGGACCAGGGATTGTTTCTTCCTTTGCACTTTCTTTTAAAACAAGTTGGGGCCTCGATACTTCCTAAGAATATCCCTGCAAATTCTGCAGAGTGTCGCTTGGGCCGTGACTTTCAAGAGGCGGTTGCCGGAGCCGCCGGGGCCGTGGAGAAGCCAGCCTGACTCCCGCGGGGTCGCGGTGTAAGAGAGCGCGCAGGTGGGAGTCTCGGGGCGCGCTTCCTCTCCCACCGGACGGGGCACGCTGCTCCACGAGTGACTCTGCACTTAGGTCTGGGCGGGTGCGTGCATCCTGCAGGCCAGCCTCTCTGCCCCTCCATCCGTCGCCGTTCGCAGAGCCCGACCCCCGCAACCAGCAATCGCCCGCTGCGGAGCGGCGTGCCCTTGGCCTGGCGAGCTCAGGCTGCGAGCTCGAAGCTAGGCGGCGGGAGGGGCTGAAGCCAAAGGGGCGGTGGCCGAGCGGCAGGCCTTGCTCCGCCCCGCCCCGCCCCGCCCGCGGCTCCCCAGCGCGGCGCTTCTGCCGGGCGGGATAAACGGACAGACCCAGGCGGGCCGCACGGCTCTCCTCGCCGCCGCTGCGGCGGGCGCGGGGCTGCGCGGCGAGGCCTGATCCCTGCAGCGCGGGCGGGCGGCGTCGCATAGGGGAGCGAGCCCGAAGCGCTCCGACTCCTGCAGGTACCTGCTTGGGTCCCTAATCCCCCGTGCGCTCTGGAGACTTCTCCGTGCGATCCCGCAACTTTCCACACCTTTTGCTGCTCCAGCCCCACAGTGGCCCAGCTCACGGGTGCACCGCCCAGCAAGTCTACGCTCGCAGACGACTTTGCATCCCGCTGGGCGCCTAGCTCGCGGCGCTCCCCTCCTCCGGCCCGCAGAGCACGCTGGCGCTGGAGCCCTAAGGATCCGCCTGTTGCGCGAGCTGCGGGCAGCGGGTACGGTGTGTGGGTCCCGCGGAAAGGCGCAGACAGAGTATCTGGGATCAGCTTTCGAGCGTGGGGTCGGGTAGGGTGAGGTGGAGGCGGCGGTAGAATCGATGACCCGGGGAAAGGCGGCACTTGGCGCAGGGGCATCCCTGGGGCGTTTCCTTAGCCGGGAAGCTGTTCCTTCCCTTCCTCGAGAGGAGGCGCTTTCCTGGCGAATGTAAATCGTTCCCTGGCCTGCTCCGCCTTCCTCCCTGTCACTGTTCTCCTCCCCTCTGCCCTACAGCGGTGCCAGGCGCCCCGCGACAGTTGCGAGGAAGAGCGCACCCAGGGCCGGTGCCCCGGAGCAGCGCTGCGCCCGGGGACTGCCTGCGTGCTCTGGGTGGGAGCAGCCTGGGGCTTGCAGGGCCCGCGGCAAGTCGCGTGCAGACTCCCGGCGTTTGGATCAGTGGTGGTGGTGGGAGCGGGTGTCCTGGGGTCGGCAACTTCCCTTTCCCCCTGCTCTCTGGGTGGCTGCCGAACCACTTGAGGTGAAAGGGCTGGTGAGGCAGACCTTCCGGCAGGGGCCGCGGCGAGCCGGGCCAGGCGCCTTTCGCATTGCAGGGCTTGTTCTGCACCCTCGCTCCCCCATCCCGCCCCCTCCCGCTCCCCGCTGTCGTTTCTCATCACTTTTGGCAAAGGAGCACCTTTTGCGCCTTTGATGTCTCCCCCTACCTAGGCTGGCTCAGCCGGTAGACTAACTCGAGCAAAGAACTATTTCCGTCCCCCGGAATAACGGGGTGGGGGCGGAGGTTTGGTGCTGGGGCGTGAGGGGGTGGGGGTGCCCTTGTCCTCCAAGAGCGCATATTTGCGGTGCCCCCGACTCCTGGTTTTTGTATTTCATCTTACCGTCTGAAGAGTGGGGCAGGTGAGGAAAACCAGCAGAAACCTTCCCTGTCCTTTTTCATGTATTTGCTTAAGTGATTTGCGTAACTATTTCCTTACAACTGAATAGGTTACCCCTAGTTGCACCCCTTTTTAGACTACTTGCAAATACCTGCCCAGGTAAACGGGAAGCAAGCATTTTCTCCAGCACCTGCCCCCTTGTTAAAGGCAGGTGTCCAAGTATTTCTCCTACTGCAGGCTGAAAGAGGGTGGCATTGATTCTGTGGTTGAGCCTGGGGTAGTGTAGGTTTCACTCCGTAAGGGGTTGTGAACTGCTTGAGGACATTGATTCAGTCAGTTTGCATTTACAGCCAGCACACCCCCAACCTGGCCTGGGGCTCTGCTCTGGGTAAACAGCACAAGCCGTAGATTCTGCTCCCAGTCTAGTTCTGTTCTTCCTTTTTTCCACCTGATTCCTTCCTTCTCCTGTTCTAATATTAAATGTGTCTTCTCAGAAGTAGGAATCGCCAGTATTAGGGAAGAAAGGTGAAGGTGACACTGATGTGGGTAAGAACTCTGAATCTAAAGCATGTTGTGACTAGTCTAAGGAGACTTGGTGGGGTCTGTTTTAATTCACTGGTGTCTGAGCCATTATTACTAGGAAAATCAGCCCGAATAAACCCGTTCGTGAATGAAGCAATGCCAAGCTTTTGCAGGTCAAGTGGATGAGAGCAAGTCTTTGTTCTGTTCAGAAATACTAAAATATTAAAAACCCAATGCTCTCATGCTTGGGTTTGCCAGCAAAGCACCAGCTAAATATTTTTCCTTCTTCCTTATCATTGTTTTTTTTAAGAAAGAAGGGGAAAAGTGGGGACTCCAGACGCTTCTCCACTTCCAGTGAATTTTGTCCTTTACGGAAATCCTTCCCAGACTCTGCAACCTCTCCGTTCTACCAGAGCTCTCTGCTGCCCTGGCTCTGGCATTCAGGGTTGGACTGTGTGCAGCTTCAAGAGAGCAGGCACCACAGGGGTTTCCTTCTTCTTTTTTTAAAAATAGGTAACACTTACTGGCTGCCTACCATATGCAGCTACTCTGCTGGGCACTTTTCCAGGCCATCATCTCCTTTAATCATCAGAACATTCCCATGAGAAAACTAAGCTTTCCTTCCTCATCGCAGTGTTTGTGGGGGCCAGCAATAGATGGATGCCTTTAGGGACCTTCTGAGTTGGATGGGAAACCAAAAGGACTGAGCTGGGCTGAGGGGTCCTCAGCAGGTCAGGACCCTGGCTAGGGTAGTTGGAGGCAGAGGGGAAGGTGTGCGTGTGTACTGCCCTGCTTACCAAGTATCAGAAAGGAAGGCAGATCCTTCGGAGTGTCACTTGTGTGGAACACCCATAAGGAGACATCGTAGAGAATCGATTAGGCTAAGGACCTGGCTTCCAGCCCTGATTTCTACCTCTTTATGACTCCTTGACTTGACATGTCACTTTGCTTCTCTGCATCTCAGTTTGTTTAGCTGTAGAGATCTAGATGTCTCATACTTGTTGTTTGTTACCTTTACTAGGCACTGTGCTCAAAGTTCTTGATGTATTAATTCATTTCATCCCGAAGACAACTGTCAGAAGTGGGCTCTGTTTTACTCTATTTTAGGTGAGAAAAAAAGACAAACTGAGTAATTTGTGCAAAAGCACACAACTAGGATGATGTGAAGCCATGATTCTATCCCTGGCAGTCTGGCTGCCAAGCCACTGTGAGATTCTTCCCTCCCTGCATACACCTACAGCCCCAATACTGTGCCCTGTACTTAGTAGAACTCAGATTGGGCTTGTTGAATGGTGACAGATAGAGGTGGCTTGCCATTACCGAGAGATTTTCTGGGCCACCTGTCTCATTCTTAAAAGGCAGAGTGGAAACTGAAAACTGAGCTAGAAAAATGTTTTTGCTTTTGCAAAATAGTTTTCTTTCCAACAGGATTCGGAAAAAGGAAGATAGTTCATAAAGATCATAAGCTAGGTAAACATGGCTATTTCTAGGAAATGTGTTTGTTATCAGTGAGAAACCCAGAAAAATCACAGAACACTTAGCACTCAAATCTATCAAAAAAGCCCACCAGAAACCAACCCACAAGAATTTATTGTGTGGCGCCATGTGCCTGTATTGCAGGCACCAGGAGCAGGCAGAATCAAAGCCGTGTTCTCCAAGCTTGAACTTGAACATACAGTGGACCTGGAGACTCAAGATTAACAAGAAAAAGCAGGACAGTACGAGGTGCTAAATATTTTGATCCTAATAAAAATCACAATGACTCTTCTCAGCTGTATAGTCTGTTGTAGTTTGGAGAAACTTTCACAGGATTATCTCATTTCAGTTCTCATAGTAACAGTGTGATAAGTGATAGGCCAGGTGGTGACAGAAATCCTATGTTGCAGATGAAGAAAATAAGGCAAAGCGAGCCTTGGCCAGGGGTCTTTGGACTCCATGTCCTTCGTGTTTCTGCCTCACAGGAGGACAGTAGATGTGGCGGGTCCCTGGAGGTGGCAGAGTTTGGATTTCATCCTGCAGCTGGCTTTCAATTGCTGCTCCTGGCGAGCCAGGGTGCTTAGCAGAGGCAGAGGAGGAAGAGAAAGTATTTTTTGTTTTGTTTTATTTTTGCATTAAGGGACCTTGTATGTGGAGAGAAATCTCAAGTATTATGAACACAATAACAATATTTAGAATGTTTAGAATCAAATGTAGAACATGATTTAGAGGAATTTTCTTGCCTGCTTTTCTTTACCATTTATATCACCTTTTGCAACTTTGCAACACATTGCACATCTACCCCTAATAAAAGTAAACTGTTCTGGCTAAGCTGTAAGTAGTTACTAGATTAGGCTGCAGTGTTTTTCTCTGGGCCAAGGGGGTCTTACTCTCTTGGGAATCCTGCAGAACCCTGCACCATTGTTTGCTTGGAGTTGATCCCCTATAAAATTGCCTTTAATTGCACAAGTGTTGAATAATCAAGGCCCAGGATCTGCGTTTAGCCAATAATGTTACAGATAATGAAGTTCCTGTTGACAGTAGCTGGCTTCCCAGTGCTTGCTGAGTCCCCAGTGAATGAAACATCCTGCTGATCATCCTGAGCAGGTCGGCTGAGTTCAGCTGAACAGATGCTTACCAATCATGTTTAATTTATGCAGCTATTTCTTTACATATACAAATATGATGAGCATTCATTCAACAAGTATTTGGGTACTTACCCCTTGTTATGCACTATGCTAGGTGCTGAGTATGCCCTGATAGAGGAAACATGGGGAAGGCGGTGTATGAAGAAACAGACATTAAACAAATACATGCAAACATTTAAGTAGTGGCAAGTGCGCTAAAGAACTTCACAGGGCAGAGTGACTCAGATGGGAGGGGAGTTTAGATGCGGAAGCTGAGAAGACCTTTCTGAGGGACAGACTTTGCATTCTGACCATGGATAGAAGCTTATCAAGTGAAAAGTAGGAGAGAGAGAATTACAGCTGTGGAAACAGTATGAGGATTCTAAGGCAGGGATGAGCTTCCAGTAACTCCAGGAGCACAGGGTGGCCTGGTGGGAGGATGGGAGGGGTCAGGATCTTAGAGCTCATCCCCAGGGCTGTGGGAAGGGAAGTGTCAGGAGCCAACTGATATTTCCAGAAGATGGCCTGTGAAGGCTGTGAGATCAAGCAAGCATCTAGTTACGATGTTAAGAAGCCAGTGGGTCTGCGTGAGAAACAAATGGAGATGACCAAGGGGAGACCAGCCCCATCCAGGTTGGTAATGGGCTGGAACAGAGTCAGCAGGTGTGGGCAGTTTGTGGGCATTCCCTCTCTGTGGAAGGCCGCTGGGCTGGTTAAGGGAGCTGAGTCGACCTCCTCAAGAAACCAA